CGAATATTAGTATATGTACACTAATACTAACTAATATTAGTATGTGTACACTAATACTAACAATAATACTAACGAATATTAGTATGTGTACAATCATACTAATGAAATTATTTATGTACACTAATACTAACGAATATTAGTTTGTGTACACTAATACTAACGAATATTAGTATGTGTACACTAACACTAACGAATATTAGTATGTGTACACTAATACTAACTAATATTAGTGTGTGTACACTAATACTAACGAATATTAATTTGTGTACACTAATACTAACGAATATTAGTATGTGTACACTAAAACTAACTAATATTAGTGTGTGTACACTAATACTAACTAATATTAGTATGTGTACACTAATACTAACGAATATTAGTTGTGTACACTAATACTAACGAATATTAGTATGTGTACACTAATACTAACGAATATTAGTATGTGTACACTAATACTAACGAATATTAGTATGTGTACACTAATACTAACTAATAATAATATGTGTACACTAATACTAACGAATATTAGTATGTGTACACTAATACTAACTAATATTAGTGTGTGTACACTAATACTCACCACAGATGGACGCTCACCGACTCTGGACACAAACTCAGCCCACAACGACCTCCAGATTTCCTCGGATCTCAGGACGATGACGCTGAGCGATGTCTCCCAGGGTCGCCCCCATCACCCACACCGCTTTGAGTGCTGGGACAAGCGCTGTGCTCTGAGAGCTTCTCGTCGGGTCAGCACTACTGGGAGGTGGACGTGGGGAGCGCGAGGCTGTGTCGGGTTGGAGTCGCGTACGGGACGATCCCACGGAGAGGGCGTGGTGATGAGTGCCTCCTGGGAGGAGCGACGTCTCCTGGTGTCTAGAGAAACAAGGCGACAGCTTCTCAGTGCTGCATGGCGGGGTAGTGACGTCACTGGCGGTGCCACAGCCTCCGCGGAGAGTCGGGGTCCACCTGGACTGGGACGCGGGGCTGCTGTCGTTTTACAGCGCCGACTCCATGGCGCTGTTGCACTCGTTTAATAAAACCTTCACTCAGCCCCTACACCCTGGGCTGATGGTGTGGTGTGATGGTGACTCAGTGAGGATTGTGGATCTGAGTGGTGCGTCCTGAGAGAGGTGAACGTGAACAGCGCAGAGGGCAGACGCCACCACGACGCACGGCGCTCGCCACCCTCGTCACCGCCACGCGCAGCGCCACGCCCGTCACTGGCTGGTGGCTGTCGGTGGCTAGGGGCTGCGTGGCTCTCCATCACAACGGGGGGGGCTGAGCGTAAACAATCCTCACAACCTTCATGGGGGGGGGGTGATAAAATAAGTACCGCTCTGTGTGTGTGTGAAGCCAACGTGGATGTATTCACCCTGCCAAAGAGTGTGACTGTGGTGTAGGGTGCAGTGATTAGCAATGGTGAACTGGGATGTGTTTATACACTGGTGGTGTCATGGGTTGTGGGAGAGAACAACAACAATAATATTATATTCTTTATGTTCTTTCGGTAAAGTCACGTAGATAAAAAAAGAAAAAAAAGAAAATATGAAAAATTAAATAATAAACATTAAATAAAATGTAAAATGTGAATCAAAAAATTCATGACGTTTTGATCGCAACACACGCGGCCGTCATCAGTCAAGAAATTTTACGTCAAAACAATATTGATTTTAAAAGTATAAATGTCCGCGTACGACTGTGGCAATGTAACGCTTGTATCGTCGATTCTACAATAAAAATACAGAATACAAACAACAACAATGTAGTTGTGTACAGCGTCATTCGTGCTCACTGCATCCTGCAACGCTGTTCATTAATTAAACACGAGGAGCAAATCCTCTACACAGCCACTGCCAAGCAAATTAAATCTACAAATTAATAAACAAATAAAGAGACGGCGCCAAACACTAAAGGCGCCAACAATGTCCGAGCTGTTCAAGTTGTCTGCTGCTGCTACGTCATGGACGTGGTGACGTCACCACGCACGCTCCTCCAACGTGGTGACGTCACCACGCACGCAGCCCACAACGCGGTGACGTCACCACGTCTCCCAACCCCCCACTCCCGCCCCTCACCACCGCACCATCTGTGAACACAAAGAGCTTCACAGTTTATCGGATTCCTCCTGCACCACAAACACAGATTCTGACGTTCTGGATTCCCGCCACTGGGGGAGTCCCTCGCTGTGACGTCACCACGTCACCGCGTTGGCGACAACAAAAACAAACAGAGGCCCTGAGGGGCACCCTGCAGCCTCGCTGCTGTGACCCAGCACTGTGGGGGGGGGGGGGGGGTTGGTGACGTCACCTCGCTGCTGTGACCCAGCACTGTGGGGGGGGGGGTTGGTGACGTCACCTCGCTGCTGTGACCCAGCACTGTGGGGAGGGGGGGGGGGGTTGGTGACGTCACCTCGCTGCTGTGACCCAGCACTGTGGGGGGGGGGGTTGGTGACGTCACCGCTGACGCTGCTGGGAACTTGTCGCGAGTGCGCCACGTGACCACGTGGTGCTCGTCAGGAGAAAGTGGTAGAGCAGCAACAACAACCACCACCACAACCACAACAACAACCACAACAATTACCAGTACAACAACAACCCCCACCACAATCACCACCACAGCAACAGCCACCAGGGGGAGGGGTAGAGGTGGGGGGGGTTGTCTGGGGGGGGGCTTGGGGGTTGTCACGTGAGAGGAGGGACCCCTAGGGGTGGGGAGGATGGGGATGTTGGGGGTCACGTGGGGTTCATTGTTTCACTGCCGGCACTGCTCCAGAGTTGCGGACCGAGTCACGAATCGCGACCGATTCCCAGACGCCGTTTGGGTCCCTGCGCTGCCTGGAGCGGTGTTGGTGCGCGCCACGCGAGGGCGCTGCCACTCCACCGCAGGGATTCGCGGGGCGCGCTGAGCAATGAAAGTGCACGGGAGATTTCACAAGAGGCTGTGGCCAAATCAACCCGGAATGTCGCCGATTTTTTTTCCCAGATCTCGGAAGCTACGCAAGGTTGAGCCTGGACTGTGGCGCTTGGATTGGTGAGCGGCGTGCACGTCGGAGTGCGGTGTGCAGATGACGCGTTGTGCCTCTCTCCGATGCGCTTTCAGGTTCTGCCCCTTGTTGATCAGCGCGATGTCTGTGACGTTCCCTCCACGTGCTGGGAGCATCGTCAAGATTTGAAGCTTCTTCAGTTGAAAGCTGAAACGTGGGGAGCATTGACAGCTTTCATTCTTCGTTACGGTGGAGCTGAGATTCCAATCATAATTGTTAAGTTATTTAATGAGCTTCAGGATACTCCTCGAGCAATGGGTAATGTTTTACATATTTGTTCAAGTAACGAGACATTGACTGGACACGAAGGGACTCGCATTTGTCCTCTTCAATCGATCTTCAGTCTGCGTGCCAACGTCGCCCTCACTAAAGTGGGCATCGGTGCACATCGCAGCAGCACGGGAACGGTACCGGGGCCACAGAGCAACAGGAATGGAACAAAAGAAACCCGTCACGACCTCAGCGGCGACCACCGACTGAGCAAAGTCAATTTGCAGCCGCGTGCAACGAATAGCAGAAGAACATTAAGTAGCAAATAAAGTGAATAATAAGTAAAGAAAATGAATAAAAAGTTAAGGAAATAAATAATAACATTTATAAGATGAATGAATAATAAAATGAAAAAAATATATAAAAAAATTTATAAGTTACATGAATTTACAATTTAAATAAAATAACATAAAAATAATTTAGTTTTCATAATTTTAATAAAGTTAATTATGTATGAATAATAAATTAATAATGGAATGAATAATTTCAATGAACGTAATAATTTAGATAAATAATATTAGAAAGTAATATTTATGAAATATGTAATCATTTAAATAAAATAAATTATGCATGAATAATACATGAATAATAAAATAAACAACAAGCAAATTAAAAGAATAATAAAACACCGGTCCCCCCCTCCGCCTTGTTAAATGGTGGCTGTTAGGGGCAGGCGAGTGTGAGTAGCTGCGTCTTGTACAGAGCACGGAGTTGAGAGACACTGGGCGCGTTGTGGACGTCGGGTGGACAATCCCGGTGCGGTTTGGATGAATAAATACATCTTAATATCTCATCATACCGTGCTAATCGTGAATATTTAAAACAAAAACGCTTCTCCTATCCGAATCAGCCACTGCAGTCATCTCGACCAAGACGTGGAACCAACTCGGCTCGCGACAAACGCTCAACCCGAAGGCAGCCATTTTGTACGTTTTAACCATTAACACTTTAAAAAAACATTAAATTGAACAATCTACACAAACAACTGCCTCTATTTATATTTTCGTACCATTCAGAACGTTGTAACCGCATTCCGATCGCTATATGCGCATTAATTTACCTCAGAATTTCCATAACAAAGTTAGCAAAGCTCGTTAATTGCAAATAAATAAGTAAATGCAACAAAATGGAGTCTGCGACGCCATTTTGTATTTACACTTTTGGCGCCAAAAAAATGAAGCGGCGAATGAGGCAACGTTGAAGACTTTAAATCATTGGCGGAGTTTGACTTTCATATTTGTCCCTCACATTAGGAATCGCGGGAGTATTTAATTTATTTTTATTTGTAAATCATGAAAATAAATTAATAAAGGTGTCCTGTTTTTTTGGGGGGGGGGCGTTGTCCCCCCGTGCCCCCTCCTCTCCCCCCTCCCCACCCAAACTGGGCCCACGCTGAAAGTGAACTTCTCGCACCGTCACCGCTGGCCAAGAGACACCGCATCGACCCAAACGGCCACAGACCAGCACCACTAACACCACCAACACCACTACCATCACCACCAACACCACCAACACCACTACCACCACCCCGCTCCATGCCCACCAACGGAGTACTGTACACTATATATATACTTCTGTGTCTCTGTATAAAGCCCTCTGTGTCCTGTCTGTACATGACCACTGTACACGGCCACCACCAGCAGCAGCAGTGTTGACAATGAGCTGAACCGGCCCTGGGCCTCCCCTAGGTCGACTCAGCACCAAATGCATCCTGCCTGGTGCGCTGTGCAGTGAACATCGCTGCTGGGCAGAGGCGAAGCCAGGCGGCTGTGGTGCTGACAGCCACCAACTCGTGAGCCGTCACGGCCTCCCTAGGCACTGCTGCCACTCGCCAGCGGGACTTGTCCACACCATCTACTGGCGGGAATTTGTGTGTAATCTGTTTCTCTAGTCTGTGTCGGTGTGTGTAGTACTGTACATGCCTCTTGTGTCGTCTGTGTGTCTAGGACTGTACGTGATTCTGCGTGTCTGTAGTCTGTGAGTCTCTGTGTAGGATGTGTATGTGTCTCTAGTCTGTGTGTATATCGGTGTAGTGTGTGTGTCTCTTTAGTCTGTGTATAGTAATTCTAGATTTGAAGCTTTCGTGACTGCAAAGATTCATATTCTTAGGTTTTTTCGGTTAAGTCACGTAAGTAAAACATCAAAATAAAAATAAAATAAAATAAAAATCACGACGTTTCGGAGGCAACACAAGTCTCCGTCATCAGGTGGGACCGTCACAGCCGAATTAGCTGCATCAAGTGAAGCAATGATTCAAGATGTAATCCCTTATAAGCAAGTTGAAGGGAGGTGGAGAGGGGGGGTTGGAGAGCTTATCAGACTGTGGTAGCCAATGAATGGAAACGTATCGGGAGGGAGGAGGAGCGGCGATCAAAGACTGCACGCAGTGCTCAACACAATGAATGGAAACGTGTCGGGACGGAGGGTGAGCGGCGATCAAAGACTGCACGCAGCGCTCAACACAATGAATGGAGACGTGTCGGGACGGAGGGTGAGCGGTGATCAAAGACATCACGCAGTGCTCAACACAATGAATGGAAACGTGTCGGGACGGAGGGTGAGCGGTGATCAAAGACTGCACGTGGGGATGTTAACACTCGGTGAAGTAAATTAAAATAGTGCCTGTCAGATAAGATGGTCCAAAAAAGTGTAATTAAGTCTTTTTTGCGTGGTTAATAACATCTTTCCAATGATTACTGAGTTTGTACCCATCATCACGGTTGAAATTATGTCTGTGTTTGTATATTTGTATGGCTTCGTGTACAAACCTTTGATGGTAGCCAGGAGGTTTGCAGAGAACCTTGGTCTCGGAAAAGACAATTTCATGAGAGCCCGCCGAGTTGTAGCAATGATCGGCAACGGCCGAAGAATCAGTTCTGCCGTGTTTCAGATCTGACTTGTGCTCGCGGACACGATCAGCCACATGACGTTTTGTTTCTCCAATGTAGCAATCACCACAAATGCAACTCAATTTGTAGACTCCAGGATACTGTAAGTCAGGAACGACATCCTTCACAGATGGAATCAGATCACGGATTTTATGCACTGTACTGAATCGGACTTGGATCTTATGTTTGTTTAGAATTTTGGAGATCTTTTTGGTCACGCCTGCTATGTATGGTAACGTGATAGTTTTGGTCGGAGTTTCATGTGGCTGTTTCTTCTGTGTGGTGGGAGAAACCGCTTGGCGGATAGTACGGTCAGAGTATCCGTTCATCCTGAGGGCCCGATGTACATGTCTCAATTCACCGGTCAGGTGGTGTTGGTCAGAAATGCCATGGGCTCTGTGGTATAGCGTTTTGATGAGAGAATTCTTTTGAGATGGGTGGTGGTGGGAATCCGGTTTCAAGTAGGAATCTGTGTGGGTGGCTTTCCTGTAGACAGAATGTCCCAAGGATCCGTCAGGTCTCCTCTCAAACAGAATATCCAAAAATGGTAGTTTGCCGTCTTTCTCTACTTCCATAGTGAATCTGATGGATGGGTGTCTAGAATTGATGTGGTCTAAGAAGTGGTTCAGTGCTGGGAGGCCATGTGGCCAGATGACGAAAGTGTCATCAACATACCTCTTCCAAAAGGAAGGACGCAGGGTGGATGTCTGGATGGCGTCTGATTCAAACTTTTCCATGAACATGTTGGCTATAACTGGTGACAAGGGGGAGCCCATAGGGGTACCCTCATTCTGTTTGTAGAAGGTGCCATTCCAGGTAAAATAGGTGTTGGTGAGGCAATGCCTCACCAGCGCAGGTACATCAGAATTCAATCCATGTTGGACTAAGTCCTCAATTATTGTTAGGGTGTCCGGTACTGGGACTTTGGTAAACAAAGATACTACATCAAAGCTGACGAGGATGTCATCCGGAGATAGTACCATGTCCTTAACCATAGAGACTAATTGTGTTGAGTTGAGTACTGCCGAAGAGGTCTTGCCTGTGAAGGGGAGCAGAGTATCTGATAGAAAACGGGCTAGTTTGTACGTAGGAGAGTTTATAGTCGACACGATGGGTCGTAGCGGGGTGCCTTCTTTATGAATTTTGGGAAGACCATAGAGTCTGGGAGGTCTAGCCGCCGATGGTTTTAGAGAGGGACGTTTGCTTGGTTCGATTAGGGAAGTCGAACTCGTGATGATACTGTTGGTTTTCGTCGTTAGGCTTTTAGTAGGATCGTTTTTAATTTTGGAGTAACTCCCATCATTAAGAAGGTCCAGGATTTTGTTGTTGTATGAGTCTTTATCCATGATGACCGTGGCATTGCCCTTGTCTGCCGAGAGGATGACTATATCATCTCTCTTTACTATACTACGAAACACAGTCGCATACAAATCAACAACCAACCCAACTAAGATATTTATATACATATTTAACCTGATAAGTAACAATATAATAACCATTTAGTCTAATAATAACACGAAGCAAAACAATTAAGAAAGCAACAAACTCACCCGTTTTCAGCGGGAGTCCATTTCAACTATTTAAATAATAATCAACATATCAAAAATAGTCACGGCCAGAATTGCGAATCCATGGAAATGACCCATTGAGACCGGCATGACCCATTTGGGCCAAAACGCCCATTCTTTGAAAGTTTATGATGTCATAAAGGGGTAATTCAAGTGCAGTCACCTGAACCAGCGCACACGATTTCCAGGCGAACTGTAGCTGCAGAAGCACTACACAGTCTGAGAGAAACACGTTGTACAGTATATTGGTGTTAAACTCGGTCGTGAAAATTCTCACGCCATCGGTGAGTTGATTCGATATTTTGGCCAGCTGGCCAGAATTAGACAAAACTCCTATATGAGTCTCTATGTATCGCTGAGTCTCTTATGTCATCATTTCTATGAGTCTCTTTGTTTATATCTCCATGCATCTCACTGAGTCTTTATGTACCTCTATGAGTCTCTATGTTCGTTAGCTTTTTCCATTTCTTGCGCCGGCTGGCCACGATTGGGCAATACCTAGCCCACTTTCCACCTGGGCAACTGGCGATCAGTAAATACTTAATGTTTCTCACTGAACATTAAAATTAACAATAATTTTTTTTTAAAATCACAGTTAAGAGACAAACAACATTACATATACACTATTAAAAAGTAGAATGAAAACAACATGATTGGTCAAATGTTTGATAATTTCATTGGCCACGTGTCAATATAATTTTTGCAAACGTGGCAATCTTGCGAGGTAGTGGAGATGTTGGATGAGGCGTGGGCGTTATGAGATCCTCTTGGCTCGCATTGGTGAACTTTTCGAGGAAGATTTTGTTTCGATTTCACGCACCGTGGCCACACTTATGCCAGTTAAAAGCTGACCAAATACATCCAGGCCACGTGTTTAGTGAAGTGCAGGTCAGGTTCAGAGTCCAACTCAGGTGTAAAGTCCACGGCATCATTTATCTACCGCTAACAACTTGCAGGGGTACAAACTTCTGGAAAAACTTACCTATACATATCAATAGTACACCTACGAATAATAAATTGAAGACTGAATTGAAGATGTAATTTTCAGATTAATAACTCAAATGATGTGGCCAAAAAACAGTTGTCTCAAATAGTTGTTGCTTGTTAATTTACTTTGTTGTTGCACACTTTATACACGATTGTGTTGAACATCATATGCCTTAGCTTATCATTTCCTTACTCGGCAAACATTTCAACTACCTGTTTATTCTGCTACCTCGAGATGTATTTCATGGGAGGTGCAGTGTTAGAGACATAGAGAAGCATGCAAAGTACTACACACACAGATACAGCCTGGATACACCAAGAACCATGTACAATACCACACACAGACACACACTGGAGACACACAGAAGCATGTACAGTACCACACACAGACACACACTGACTGGAGACATAAAAAAGCATGTACAGTTCTATACACAGAAACACTGACTGGGGTCACACAAGTATATACTATGCAGTACTACTCACAGACACACACACACAGATTGGAGACATAGAGAAGCATACACATTACTACACACAGACTAACAGACTAAAGACACGCAGACACACATACAACACAAAGACAAAGATCCCCCATATAGCCTTAACAGATTGTAGGGGTAAGTGCTGTTAGCACCTATGAAGGCCGGAACGTCACACGAGGGGTGGGTGGCCAGCACCACCCCGGCCGCCTTTGTCTCCCAGTGGCGATGTTTATGACACACTGCACCAAGTACACATTTGAGGCTGAGTTGACCTAGGGGATGAGGCCCAGGACTGATTCAGATAATCGTCAACAATGGTGGTGGTGGACGTGAGTGGGAATCGAACTCGGGACTCTGATGGGTTCGTAGTGCAGCGCTAACGGGACAGACACTGCGCCCTAAGCTGTCGAAGAATGAGTTTATCTCTCTTTACTCATCTCACAAAAGAGCCATCCCAGCTGAGTCCTTTATATTGACAACAAAGCTCTATGATTTAGATCTAGGGAGGTGTGTACAGTAGTCGTGGTCACCTTTAGGCTGCTATTTGCGCACCTAGGGGCACGGGTTCACATTCCAGGGAGTGTCTCGTGGTGTCAATGACGACAATAAAAATAATTTTAGAATTTTATTCTCCACCGTCGCTATAAGAGAGAGGTCCTGGTCCAGCGTCTCTCTGAGCCACACAGCGAGCGATCCCAGCGAAGCCATGGGTCATGGCGAGCGCGACTCCCAGTGAGAGTGTGGACAGTGAGCTGCGCTGCGCCATCTGCCTGGGCACGTTCGTCTGCCCGTCCACGCTGAGCTGCGGTCACTCGTTCTGCCTGCGGTGCCTGGAGGCCGCCTGGGAGACGGCGAGCAGCTTCAGCTGCCCGCAGTGCCGAGCGACCTTCCCTGTGCGACCCCAGCTGAGGAGGAACGTTGCCCTCGCCAACCTGGTGGAGCGACTCAGAGTTGGAGACGTGATGGCCACGGCCATCGTGTGTGACATCTGCGGTGATGGCCACACTCCTGCAGTGAAGACCTGCCTGAGATGCGAGATGTCCTTCTGTGAAATGCACTTGAGGCCTCACCTGGAGAATCCCAGGTTGAGAGACCACGCTGTGGTGGATCCTACGGCGAGCTTGGATGAGCGAAGATGCCCTGAACACAGTGAGGAGCTGAAATTCTACTGCACAGTAGACAGCAGCCTGGTCTGCTCAACTTGCACCATCGCAGGAGAACACAAAGGACATGATGTCACCACGATGAAGAAGGAGCACGAGACACGGAAGGTGAGGCCGTCACAGTGAGACACCGCAACACGACCTGACTAATTCTGTCACTGGGCTTTACAACATCTGATGCAAAAAACGTAATTGTGTAGTCATGCTCTCTCTCATGAATCTCTGTCTCTGCTTGTACAGCTCATCTCCTGCTTGGTGTTTTAGTATACAGCCTCAGGATGTATTGCATGCCAGGCTCTCACTAAACATAATTCCCGTGTAAAGGAATTAAGTTGTAATGCTAGCATATGCGAGGTTTCGCCGCTCAGCTCTGGGCCAATCAGACGGCCCGGAGTATCGGGGGTGGGGCCTAGCAATGTGGGCATATGGGAAGGTGGAGACAGGATGATGTGGAGAGCAGAATATATGGGGGATCCGGAAGAGGCTCGTGGTCAGTTGGCGTGGTCAAGAAGCGGGACCACGTTGGGTTTTTGGAGGTCTCCGGTCGCCATCAACCACGTGGCTGGAGACGGCTCCAAGCACACCATCAGCCAACGGTGTGCGGGAGCAGGGAAGAGAGCGACGAACGGGAAGGGCGCGCGGCGTGTAAAAGGATCAGCTGGTCCACTGTCATGACCAGTGGAGTGTGAGCGGACATAACCAAGAATAAGGAGAGACGGAGATCAAGTTGTGTGTCGTCAACGTCTTTTATTACACTGGCGTCAGAAGTGGACTTTTTCAAGGCAAAGTAACATGAAGGAAGATGGCCAAGCACTTGAAAAAGCGTAACCCACCTGTTGCGTCTTCCGACGACGAAGAGGCGGCAACCCAGAACCGGCTGACCCCGGGCTTCATGGTCCCTGTTATTGCGACCACAGCTGGTGTGTCTACCGCACCAGTGGAGGACATCGGGCGCGCTGGAAAGACGGCCGCCAGCACACGTCCTCCAGCGACCACGTGGCAGGCCGCCGCCATCTTGAACATCGCGTCGGAGGAGCGGCCGGGCGCGGCCATTTCGGAGGCGCCACGTGGTGTGCATCCTGCTGCTGATGCAGCTGTTGTGCAGGAAGGAGCCGCAAGGAGAGAACGCCAATGCTGCTTCACCATCTTCAAAGAGAGAGCGCGGGAGCCGCCGGGGAAGCTGCCATTGCTGCTGCTGCCTGAGTGGGAGCACCCCTGCCCTGGATCATGTGCGAGACACAGGAGCAGTTCGCAAGAGGACGCTGCGCTCATCGTTCGAGTTCTTCGAGGCGTCTCAAGTCACCACCCTGCCGTCCTCTGCTCGCCGCAGCCCCCCGGGCGAGTCGTGACGATACGCACCCGGCCCTAACACACACCTCACCCATCTTGCGTGCGCCGGGTTGCGATTGCGTTGTTTATGGCTCGAGGTTGCGGAGCGTGGTTCGGGCTGTGTGTGTGTGTTGAGGATGGACGCGCTGTCTGCAGGTGTTTGCACTGTGTCAAAAAGTGTTTATGCGTTGCGGCGTTGGGATGTTATCTTGATGGGGAAGTTAATTATGAATTTGGTTGCGGCGAGTGTTCCGAGCCCCGTTACCATCCCGTGGGTTGCCGTGTGCGACGTGTTTTTAGTTTTTTTTTTTGCGATGTGTGACATGGTTAACGGTATGTTGTCTGCCTGCAGCTCTGCTCGCGATTGTTCACAATGTACCAACTGTATGGAACTTTGCTGCTTGTGATTGCGATATGCTGACTGCACGTACTGTATAGTCTTTCTGTACGGATACGGATTGCGGTGCATCGTTCTGACCATTAGGTTTCGGGATTGTTATTAGTTGTGCGTACCTGTTCGGCAATTGGTCAATTCATTGGGGGATCCTGATTTTTGGTTGTATGCGTGTTCATGTGGAATTGTGATTGTGAGGGTTGAGGGTGTTGATTGGTGGCTCTGCCGTCAAGGGTGCGTGGGGCTGTAAATTGCCGCCAAGTGGCATCGCTCTTTCCGCTTGATTGCATGCAGCCAGGGGTTGCATTGCGAGTTAGTGTGTATGAGCAATGTGTCTTGGTTAAAGAATGGGTTAAAAATTCCCCTGATACAACTGCTGTGCGCAGCGAGCTGCGGCGATGCATCGTATCGTTGGGGGTT